TGTTGTTGGTGTTGTTGATGTTGTTGTTGTTGTTGTTGTTGTTGTTGTTGTTGTTGTTGTTGTTTGATGTCGTCCCCCCCGCGACCCACCCGCGACCCCACCCGCGACCCACCCCGCGACCCACACAGCGACCCCCCCCGCGACCCACCCCGCGACCCGCCCGCTGCCCACCCCGCGACCCACCCCGCGACCCACCCCGCGACCCACCCGCGACCCACCCCGCGACCCACCCGCGACTCACCCCGCGACCCGTCCGCGACCCACCCGCGACCCACCCCGCGACCCACTTGCGACCCACCCGCGGCCCACCCCGCGACCCACCCGCGACCCACCCGCGACCCATTTGCGACTCACACGCGACCCACCCGCGACCTACCCACATTGGTTTAACGAAAAAATCGGCACCTGCGGTGGGCTCGTTGCATAAGTTGGGAAACTTTGGCGCCTGCGGCGGGCTTCTCCAGAGTCTCGCAGACTGCCGACGTCCCCACGTTTACTCAAATCCGCCGACCCAGTCGGCGTGTGTGAGAGGCCCTTCGACGCGAGGCCAGCCCAACCCAAACTGAAGCACGCCATCCTCCTTTGAATCGTCGTCGCACGGCCCTAGAGACGCCCAAGAATACCCTAGCGGACCCCAAGACGGCCCCAACAAGGGCGCAAGAGTGGGAACACAAACCAAGAGTTCGAGCCTTCTGCCCTAAGAGGCCCCTTACCTTCTCGAACGGTTGCCGCGCAGAATGATGCGCTGGCACGGTGGCGGAATTGCCGGAGGCAGTTGGGTACATATACAGATATTCCTCCTCGAACCTGCTTATGTCATACCGCTCCCCCCCCGTACATGAATTCCCCCCTTGGCGGCCAAACTGGGGCGAACAAAGCTCCCACAATGTCCCCAAAAGGCAAAAACTGGTAAGTTTTCTGTCGGTGTCGGCAACATTTCATCATGCTCCGCTTCTCGGCCTCGATACGTCCGAAAACACCCCCCAGATCGCTCCAAGATGACCACATGCGCGCCCAAGACGGCCCCAAGTAAAGCCCAGCATCAAGACAGCGCCGAAATGCTCCAAGAGGGCCCCAGGAGGGGCTCCAGACGGCCAAAGAAGGCCCCAAGACGGTCCAACAAAGCCCCCAACTGCTCACGAGGCCCCCAAGATTGCCCAGAGGGGTCAGACAGCCCCAGAGGGCCTCAAGCCGACACCACGGCGGATTCAAAACGGCCTCAAGAAGCGACAAAGAACGGCCCACTCGCGGACGTGCGTTAGTACGACTCTCTCTCTCTCTCCCTCTCTCCCTCTCTCTCTCTCTCTCTCTCTCTATATATATATTATATAATATATATAATATATATATATATATATATATAATATATATATATATATATATATGTATATAACGTCTGTATACGCATTCAACCCCCTCTAGAGCGCATTTTTCACGGGCGCTATGGGGGGAGAGTGGGGGCGGGACGGGAGGGGGCATCACGTAGCGCCCCCTTCCCCCCTGTGGTGCCGGACGCGCTGCGGCAGTGCCAGGGACGCACTGAGGTGGGGAGAGCGTCACGCTATGGGGGTTGGGAGGGGGGGAGGTAGGAAGCAACACGAGCGTTATGGCCCAGAGGGGTAAAAAACACACTCCTCAGGAGAGCCCAGAATCGAATCGACTAGTCGGACCGGCGATCGAAATGAATCGGATCGGCGGAAATCGGCAGCCGAGTTCGCAAAAGTCGACTCGGCAGAAATCGGCAGGCTAGTATGCCTCAACTAAGAAATCGGAACCCAGATCGGAACCCCACGTCGAATCGAATCGGATTCGGAAGCCATCGAAATCGAATCGAATCGAATCGGAGGACTCGAAACAAAGTCCTGTCCCCTGGAACACCCGAAAAGCGCCCCGCCAGGCGCTCCCGTCGCCAGAAACTCGAACGTCGAGTCCCGGGTGCCCCTCGCTGCCTGCTCCGACCGCCCGGGCGAGCCTCGGATCGCCGATCCCGAACGGGCCCAAGACTGCGCCGACACGCCCAAGATGCGGCGGCGAGCGATGGGGGGAAGCGAGAAGGAGAAGGCCTTCTCGACAGCCGGCGGGGATCCTCATCAGAAACCCTCGCGCCTTCTGGAAGGATGTTTCTCGTCTTCCTGGAAGATTTAGCGAACTTTTCAGGAGGCCCGGGGCCCTCCGAGCCTGCTGAGAAGGCCTTGTCCTTCTCACTTCCCCCCCGGGTTCGCCGCCGAAAGACAGCTCCAAGACGTCAACCTTACGAGCCTTGTGCCCAGAGAACCCCACGAGCCCCATGAGCCCTACAAACCTCAGGAACCCTACGACCCTCATGAGCTCAAGGAGCCCCACGAGCCCTGTGAGCTCACAAGCCCCGCGAGGGCACCATGGCCCCCGTGAACCCCACGAGCCCTGCGCGCCTTGATCCCCGTGAGCCCTACAAGCCTTGCGAACCCTGCGAGCCCGATTGACCCTACGAGACCTACGAACCGCATCTGGCTCATGAGCCCCAATCCGCGTGAGCCCCATGAGCGCCACGAGCTCTACGACCCCTTACGAGCCCCATGAACCGTACGACCCTTACGGGCCCTGCGGCCCCCATGGGCCGTACGAACCTCATGAACCCCATGAACCCCGCCAGCCCCATAAGGCCTACGAGTCCTACGTACCCGATGAGCCTTACGAGTCATATAAGCCCTGCGACCCCCATTAACACAACAAACACTAAGACCCCCGCGAGCCGCATAAACCCGACGACCCGCGTTAGGAGTCTCCAGAAAATTGAAAGCTCCATGGACGCTACAAACCCCTGACCAAGCCTGCACGCGCAGAGAACTCAATCCAAACGCAACAGTGGGTCGCACATGCCACGGGCCAGGAGTAGTCCGTCGCACAGAGGACACTGGTGGTCGCGGCGAGCCTGTGCGGCGCCATGCGACAAAAATGTGTTCGGTGAACCGCAGCGAGCCTGGACAAGCCTCCTATAGATGTACTTACATGTATACATAGTTGCCCTACAAGCGTACATACCAACAAATTACATACTAACATACATACATACATAAATGCATACATACATAAATACATACATACATACATGCGTGCACGCACGCACTCATGAATGCATGCATACGTACGTACTTACATACGCATGTACGCACAGACAGACAGACAGACAGACAGACAGACAGACAGACAGACAGACAGGCAAACATACAACATACAGAAAGACATACAAACATACGAACATACATGCACGCATACCTACCGACCTACCCACCGACCAACCTACCTACCCACCGACCTTCATACATACATACATACAGACATACGGGCGCAGGCGCACATCGGTGCCCCCGCTTTTCTTGTGAACCTCATCATCTGGATTACCTCACTTCAAACGTGGCACCTCCTCGCACACGCATGTCTGCATCTGCGCGCGCTGCCAATCAATGCAAAACGCGCACGCGCATTCTTGCCTAACCCCCGCAAGCTCAGCAAGGCAAGCGCGAGCGACTGGGGCGCCCCCAACCAGACATAACTGCCGACGCCCACTCAAATCGCCCGCGCGCGGCCCGAGCCTCCGCCTGCCACGGCGAACCCCAGCGCCACGCCCAAAACCGATGTGAACCGCAACCTCCCCCGAGAAGCCGCGGGGCGCATGGGCGGGGCTTGCGCGCGGGCGCCGTACCTTTTGGAGGAGGCCGTCGTCGAAAATCCAAGGAAGGACGCCCGTCGCCGGCTCGGCCCTGCAGGAGCCCACGCGTTTGACCGACTTGAAAGCGATCTCGTCGGCGGACTGCGCAGGCACCGCGCCCAAGCCGCAGTCTCCCAACCGCTGTCTTCGCCGACCCTGGAGCCCCCGACCCGCGGCGCCCCGCGCGCGCGGGGGGGGGGAAATAATGAGCGCGCGCCAAATTCCATTGCGCGATCGACCCGGCGCTCGCCCCCCCCCCCCCTTTTTTTGATGATTGCGCAAAACAGCCTCCACCTTGACGGGCGGCCAACCAAAAGATCTTCGACTCCCCTGCTTTCACCTCCGCGTCGCCCCACTCCATCAACTGGTCCCTGCTGTTACTGCGAGGGCCGCGCCGGCGGATGAACGCGCAGCCCCCGGCGTGCTCGTCCGCTCCAAGCGGCAGCTTCCGCTCGCGCTGCGGCTCGATCGCAAAGCGCCTTGCGCGATAGCCCTCAAGCTTTTCCAGCACGAACTGGAAAGCAATCGCGCCCGCCCCGAAGTTCTCGCCGCAGTCGGTCTCGCGGGCCCCCCCGCGAGCGCAGCTCAGGGCGGCTGCGACGTCGACCATGTTCTTGTCGAAGCTGACAGCCTTCGGGACACGGCAAGTAGAGCGGCGGCTGCCCTCGGGGTTCTGAAGCACGATGAACAGCCGCATCGCGCACAGCACGACACGCTCCTCTCTCGGGGACATAGGGGGCTGCAACTCCTCGCACCGACCATGGTTGAGCAGCTCGGGGGCCCTCTCGAAGTCGATGGATCTCTCGTAGTTCGACACGACGTCAGCGAAGGCAACCAGCCTCGCAGCGCTCGAGCCTCCGATCGGCGCCAGTGGAAGGTCGAAAATGGTGAGATCCCCAGCGAAGGACAGCCAGTCCTTCTTGACGCACAACGCGGGGCGGCAGTCCAATTTGCTCGCGCTCACAATCAGGCTCGCCCCCTCGAACGTCAGCTCCCCGTCGCACGAAACGTCGCATGCGACCTGCCCCAGCGGGCACCAGACCTGCACGGGCGCTCGCCATGACAAGCGAAAACAAGAAAAGCGGCGCGGGTGGCGGCCTGGGCGCGGGCGGGCAAGGCCGCGCGCGCAGCTTGCTACCGGCGCGGTTTGAATCAAAAGCGCCACGGACACCCGAGGGCGACAGCCATGAGGAGTAGGAGTAGTAAGTAGTAGTAATAGTAGTAGTAGTAGTAGTAGTAGTAGTAGCAGTAGTAGTAGTAGTAGTCGTAGTAGCAGTAGTAAAAATAGTAGTAGTAGTAGTAGTAGTCGTCGTCGTAGTCGCGGTCGTAGTCGTAGACGTAGTCGTAGTCGTAGTAGTAGTAGTAGTAGTAGTAGTAGTAGTAGTAGTAGTAGTAGTGGTAGTAGTAGTAGTAGTAGTCGTAGTAAAAGTAGTCGTCGTCGTAGTAGTAGTAGTCGTAGTAGTAGTAGTAGTAGTAGTAGTCTTAGTAGTAGTAGTAGTAGTAGCAGTAGTGGTAGTAGTTGTAGTAGTAGTAGTAGTAGTAGTGGTAGTAGTGGTAATGCCAATACAAATCCGAATGAAAAAATATATCATAATAATTATCGGAACAGTTCTAATAATAATGATAATAGTAGTAGCAGTAGCAGTAGCAGTAGTAGTAGTAGTAGCAGCAGCAGCAGCAGCAGTAGTAGTAGTAGTAGTAGTAGTAGTAGCAGTAGTAGTAGTAGTAGTAGCAGTAGTAGTAGTAGCTGTGGTAGTTGTATTACTAGAAGTAGTAGTAGTAGTAGTAGTAGTAGCAGTAGTAGTAGCAGTAGAAGTAGTAGCGGTAGTAGCGGTAGTAGTAGTAGTAGTAGTAGTAGTAGTAGTAGTAGTAGTAGTAGTAGTAGCAGGGAGAAGGCGGAGGCAAGGGAAGGGAGAAAGAAAAAATGAGCGCGGCCCCCGAGAAGGGCATAGTGGAACGCGATGCACTTTTTTCTGCCACGCGCCGTGGCGCCGCTCGTTTGCTCTCCGCTGTCCAAGAGCTCAGGCCTCCCACAGTGCCACCTCTGCCTCGAGGTAGCGGCCCCCCTGCTGGCGGCGATGGCACTGCCTCTTCGTCTTGGTCACCTCCTACTGTGTTCCACTGTCACCATTGCTGACCAATGGCAGGCGATCCACGGTGGCGCTCTGCTGGGCGAGACGCGAATCGCACCCAGCAGTCACTACTGATATCCGCCGCCCGTGGTCTGCAGCGGCACTGGTGAACAGTATGCCAACGGCCTCGCTGCGCGCCATGTTCTGGCACAGCTGCTCCTTCGCCTTCGCGAGCGCCTTCTGCGCCGCGGCCGTCTTCGTTTCCGTTTCCTCGCGCCGCCGCTTCTCCTCCGGGGGGGACAGGCGCGTTGTTTTTGTTCGTGGCGCGTTGTTGCGATTGAAATAACGTAACGCGCGAAACATGATTGCGGTGGTCCTCCAGGTAGCCGTTGTCGTATAGTTTTCCATGTTTTCGCCTCGCCCTGCGCCTCCTGGAGCGTCTCCTGTGGACACGCCACGAAAGAGAGACGCCATCGAGTGCCACGCAGAAGCGGCGCAAGCAACAAATCACACATGGTGTTATGCCATGTTTCCGAGTCGCGTCGCTTCTGCGCGGCAATAACTGGATGTCGGTTGTGGCGTGGTGTTTGTATGTTACACAAGGGTCCGCATGGCGTCGTTGTCACTCCTCGTCAGTTCTCCCGTCAACAAACCCCCCTTTCTCCGTCCATCATCTTCCCTCCATGTTCCTCCTCCTAACACTAGCCCGCATGACGCAGGGCCCAGCACCACACATGCAATAGGGGACCATTCGTGCGCCAGATTAGGCAGCGACGGCGGCTCAGCAACTGCTGCTTGCCTATTTATACAACCGAACACCAATATGCAACGCAGTGCAGTCGCTGGGAAAATTCAAGCCTCTGGCTCCTCCTCCCCTTCATCAACGCAATGACAGCGCAAGGGAACACCGAAGAAAAACTATGAGGTCGGGAAAACTGATGAGGGGGGATGCTCGGGTGTGTCCGAACTCATGGTGTGTGTGTGTGTGTGTTTGTGTTTGGTGGTTGGGGTGTTTTTTTGTGTGTCGGGGTGTGTCCAATGTTTTCGCTGTTATTCGCAACGTCGCTCATGTTCCGCAGGCGTCCGTGCGCGTTCGGAAAGGGAGGGGATGAGGAAGAGGAGTGGAGAAGAGAAGTATCGATGTCAGAGTCTTCTTCTACGGCAAGGGAATGCCAAGGCACCGATATGCGCGCGACCCCATAAATACGTACGTACAGACATACAGACATGCAGGCATACAGACATACAGACATGCATACATACATGCATACATGCATACATACATACATGCATACATGCATACACACATGCATACATGCATAAGTACATACATACATGCATGCGTGTATGCATACATGTGTGCATACATTAATACACACATGCATATACATATACATAATTATATGTATGTATGTATGTGTATACGCATACATGCACACATGCATGCATGCATGCATGCATACATACATAAATGCATACATACATACATACATATATACATACATGCATGCATGCATACATACATGCATGCATGCATGCATGCATGCATACACACACATACATACATACATACACACACGTATACACACACCAATCTACCTACCTACCTACATACATACATACATGCATGCATACAGACAGACAGACAGGCAGATAGATAAAGTCACACATGCGTGCATGCATACATACATCATGTATGCATGCATGCATGCATACATACACATATACAAGCATGCATACACTGGCATGCCTACATGCATACATGCATACATGCATGCATACATGATTGATACATGCATGCATACATACATACAGACATACCAACATATATACATATATACATACATGCATGCATGCATGCATACATACATACATATGTACATGCATACATGCATGCATGCCAATCTACATACATACCTGAACATGTGTAGATGTGTTTGCTGTCGTTATCTTTCTCTCTCTCTCTCTCTCTCGCTCCTTCTCTTCACATTCCGACCCTCAACCAGCAGTTCAGCGCTGCTGCTGGCGCCAGCCAATGAAATAGGTCGAGCTCGTACTCGGTGCGCTCGATCGCTTGCTGGTCCTTGGTCGGGACTGCCACACTGAGTCCGCCATCACAGGGTTCAGAAATTCCCCTTCTCGTATCTCCGCTCTCTTTTACCATCGGCCCAACTCCAGCTTTTCGTTCATGCTGGAACAAAGCATGTGTTGCCAATGATGTCTGGCGTTCGAATGAACAAGGGACCAAGGTCCAGCGCGCACGACAGTCACGCTGAGCTACGAATCGTTCCCATAGGGCTTGGAGGAGCACAAAAAGCATAAACATAAGTTCCGAGATTCGCGCGGATTTCTTAGGTCGGCGCCGCGAGGGGCCAGCGCCGCTCCAAGAACCAGCACGGACCTCCGAGAAAATCCGACGAATGGGCGTGTGAGTTTTACAAAGCCTAAGCTACAGCCTACAGCCTGAGCTTCAGCTCTGCTGGGGAAGGGCCCAGGTGGCTCTGCCGGGGAAAGGGGGGGGCTGCTCCGCGTCTGATCCGCTTTCTGGGCGGGACTGGGTCACGTAAAACTCCGCAAACTTCCCACCCTTGGGGCCAGAGAGCCCAAGATGGCCGCCAGATATTTCCCAGACGGCTTAAGATGCACCCAAGACGGCCCAGGATGCCCTCCAAGAACGGCCCGGAGAGGCCCAAATCATTGATTTCCTACATGCTTCTGAAGGATTTGGGCGCTTCATTCTTATCGGCCTTCCGAGGGCCCCAAAGGCCCCCAAGATCGCCCCAGAGGCCTCCAAGATGGCCATATGACGACCCAAGAGGCTCCTAAGACGGCCCAAAGAGAGTCCCAAGACGGCCCCATGGGCCCCCAAGACGGTCAAGATAGCCTCCAAGACGGCCCTGAACCACCCCCCGTGCTGCCAGACGGCACAGCAAGGCGCCCAAGACGGCCTCTGACGGCGTCGGACGGCCCAGGAACGCCCTAAGACACCCAAAAAAGGGCTTCCAAGAAGCCCCCAAGAAGCCGCCTCCTCCTACGACGGCCCAAGAGGGCCCCAAGACGGCCCCATATGCCTCCAAGCGAACCACAGCACCATCGGGAGCGCCCCGGATCGGCGGCACTGGCCGGGGGCCACCCACTACAATACGTTTAGGCCGTTCTTGTTCCTCGCAGAAACGACACTAGCCCAAGCCAGAGTCGGATGGAGCCAGCGCGCGCGCGACGCCGTGAGTCCTCGATCCATATGGCCATGAGGACCATCTTGGCGCCCTCGGAACCCTCTGCGCTGATGACGCCGGTACGCTCCAGCTTCCCGAGGATGTGTATCACAACCTGTCGCGGGGCCGCAGTGTGGGCGCCAGACAGTCTGAGGAGGATCGAAGGATGAGGAGACCCGGCCCTTGGAGGAAGAAAAGCGTGCACAAGCATAAACTTTCGGAGCTCCGCGCGGATATCTTGGATCGGCGCTGGCTCCCCCCCGGCAGCGCCTCCGGCGCCGCCCCTGGCGCGCCCCGCGCGCCATGCAGGAGGTTCCAGTGCCGATCCGAGAAGACCACGCGGAACTTCGATCGACAGTCCCGTCAGGGTGGCCCGGGAGGGCAGGACGCAGAGGGCGCCCTCGCTCGCCTCGCACTTGGCCGCCGCAACGCCCGTGCGACAGAGCCCAGCTGCTCAGCTGGCATTGATTCCAGGGTTCGCCAGCGGCCAGCGTGAGCCACTCGGCCCAGGTCATGCCCGATGCAGAAACCACTCATGCGCTGGGCAGACTGGAAGAGCTAAAAACCCATAAACATAAACTGTTGGAGGTCCGCGCAAATGTCTTGGATGCCCTGGACCCCCCTCCCCGGCGCGCGGGGCGCGCCAGGGACGGGGCCGGAGGTGCCGCCAGGGGGGGGCCAGCGCAGATCCAAGAAATCCGCGCGGAGCGCCAAAAGTTTATGCTTGTGTCGTTTTTCTTCTCCGACAGAAACCATTCATGCGCTGGGCGACAAAAGCACGACGAGGCAAGGATGGTCAGCATCAGGCCAACGCTCCTGCCTTGCTGGGGCTCGAATAACCGTACTGCAGACACCCTGCCGTCAAAGTCCCCTCCTCATAGGTTACAGCGGATGCCAGTCCACAAGAAACCTTCCACAAGAAACCCAACCCTGAGACCCCAGGACGTCCATCGCTTTCTGGTGCGGCAGAGTCGCGCTGTCCACAGCAAGACCATCGCAACCCAGGAAGCCCAAGGGCACCCTGGAGGCAGGCAGGGCACTTCTTGGCAGGGGCCTCCACTGCCAGCTGCTGCCAAGCCTTCCGCTTTTTCACTGAAGAGGGGAGGGCCCCCCTTGCAGGACGAGTGTCCCTTGCAGGACGAGCTGCCAGGCCTTCCTCTGTCACTGCAGAGGGGAGGGCACCCCTTGCAGGACGAGCGCCCCTTGCAGGACGAGCTGCCAGGCCTTCCTTTGTCACAAAAGAGGGGAGAGCCGTCCTCCTCCGCCTCCTCCTACTCCTCGTCTTCCTCCTCCTCCTCCATCTCCTCCTCGTCCTCCTCCTTCTCCTCCTCCTCCTCCTCCTCCTCCTCCTCCTCCTCCTCCTTCTCCCCCTCCTCCTCCACAATTATTCAATATGAATATACTCTCCCTCTTCCCCTGATGGCGTCCGGGTGATAGCCGCGCACCCTCCGCGTACTGTTTTTTACACACAGGATGCCCGGGAAATCCCGGGAAACGACTCTCGCTGAGGCGCCGGCGTCATTTTTTCCCAAAATGCTGCTCTCGCGCCGGCGTCATTTTTTCCCAAAATGCTGCTCTCGTTGAGGCGCCGGCTTCATTTCTGTTCCCGACTCCTTCCCCTGATGGCGTTTTACCGGGGATAAAAAAAAAAAAAAAAAAAAAAAAAAAAAAAAAAAAAAAAAAAGAAAATAAAAAAAAAAAAAAAAAATTAAGAAAATAAAAAAAAAAAAAAAAAAAAGTAAAAAAAAAAAAAAAACAAAAATAAAAAAAAAAAGAAAATAAAAAAAAAAAAAAAAAAAAAAAAAAAATAAAAGAACAAATAAAAAAAAAAAAAAAAAATAAAAAGAGGCCGCCGCCCGCACCCTCCGCGTACTGTTTTTTTACACACAGGATGCCCGGGAAATCCCGGGAATCGACTCTCGCTGAGGCGCGGGCGTCATTTTTTCCCAAAATGCTGCTCTCGTTGAGGCGCCGGCCTCATTTCTGCTCCCGAATCGTTCCGAATCGTGCTCCCGCTGCAGCGTGGGCCTCATTTTTCGGATCGGTGCTTGGCCTCCGTCGTTCAGGATGGCGTTCTCGCCCCAGCGCGGGCCTTTTTCTCGCGCGCCCATCCGCCCGCCACCACCGCGCCGCACCGCCACCACCACCACCACCACCACCACCACCACCACCACCACCACCACCAGCACCAGCACCAGCACCAGCACCAGCTCCAGCACCAGCACCAGTACCACCAATCCAACCCAGCAATAGCACAGTACTACTACAACAACACCGAACCACCACCACCAGCACACAAGCACCACCACAACCACGAAACCACCTACCACCACCACCACCAATACCACCCACCAACCTAATCACCTACAGACCAGCACCAGCACCGCACCGAGACCGCACCTGCCACCAGCCCAGCACACAAGCCCAGCACAGCACCTGCACCAGTACCACAGCTACCAGCCACCAGCAACACAGAAACCCCAGCACCTGCACCAGCACCAGACACCAGCACCAAGAACCATCACAACCAAACTACCACCACCACACATCAACCAACCAACATACCCACACAACCACCACCGCCAACCACACCACCACCACCACCAGCACCACCACCACCACCACCACCAACCACCACCACCACCACCACCACCACCACAACCATGCACACACGCACGCACGCACGCACGCGCACCACCACCCACTACGCACGCGCGCGCGGAGCCACAGGTCCGCTACGACACGCGTCCGCGGATAGAGAAAATCAGCGCCATGGTAAGGGATGGGATGGAGGGGTAGGACGTCAGATATGACGCGAGCGCACCTAGCTTGTCCTGCCCCACTCCTCCTCCTACCTATCACTTTCCTACACCACTCCTCCTCCCTGCCTCACCCCATCCTCCTCCTCTCACTAATACTCCCTCATTTTTCCCTCCTCCCCCCCCCCTCACCTTCCTCCTAGACCCCTTCCTCCGCCTCCCGCCCCCCTTCCTCTATCTCTATCCCTAAACCACTCCTTCACTCTCTCCTCCTCCTCCTCCTCCTCCTCCTCCTCCTCCTCCTCCTCCTCCTCCACTGAGCGGTGTCGGCCAGGCAGGCGAGCTCCAAGCACCCCCGAGGGCTCCGAGTTGGCAGAGCAGGCCTTGGGGGGCAGCCGCGCGGGGCGCGGGCGGCAGCCAGGGCGACTGCTGGCGCTGGCGCCTCGGAGGGCGGCGCGGCGTCTTACGAAGGGCCCCTTGGGCACACAAATAAATACACACAAACGACAGGATTACCAATATTTTCTCATACTTTCTGGGTTTTTGTCTTCCCCCCCACTTCCCATATTTTCCCATATTTCCTGGGGAATCGAAGATTCATTGTGTCTGTGTGTTTGTTTCCCCTCCTGATCTTAAGCAGCCGAACTCGCCAAGTCGATCTCTGCCGATCTGGCCTGAGGCCCCCCTTCTCGACAACTCGCCTGGACTCTACGAGAGCACTCGCTGTCCCGTGCCAGGACCATGGGAAGCACCGCGGCCTGCTTCAGGAAATGCTGGCTGATATGTGCCAGAACACACTGCCAAACACTTTCTTGCCGGAACGTCGTCCTTGGTGGTCCACATGCCTCGAGCCACCTGCCGCGAAGCCTCGCGGCCGACCGACTCTTTCGCCGTGCCATCGGCGCAGCAGATCGCGCGCGCGTGTCGATCCAGCCACACGGCTTCTCAACACCATGCGGCCCAGCGTCCGGCGCATCCCGTGAGCGCGACAGGGCGCGCGCCTTCTGCTGGCATCCTCGCGCTCTCCGCGATGCCCGAGAGGCCCGCCTGGGCCACCGCTGCGCTCGCTCCGAATCCGGCGAGGCTGGCTCCCAACCTTCAGCGCCGTCGACCAGGGCGCAGCGAGGGAGCCTCCCAGCCTTCGGCGCCGTCGACCGCGTCGCGCAACTGCTGGGCTGCGAGCTTGCCGCCCTGCACCCTGGCGAGGGTGCCGGCCAGCAGCAGCTCAGGCAGCCGCAGCTGTCCAGAGGCTGGTGCTGGCCTGGTCCCTCAGGTCGATCGCGCTGCACGGGCCTGCCTGCTCGGGGAGAGCTGCCTCCAAGGATTTGCGCTTGCCCCCTGGCTTGCCTTTCTGGCTCGCCTCCGCAAGCAAGTAGACCGCGCCGCGCGCAACAAGCAACCCTGCATCATCAAGCTCTAATCGAAACCCGGCGCCACCGACGACCGACAACAGCCCTGGGAGCTGCAACGCTTGTGCTGGCAGAGGCGGCTGGCGGCTTTTCGCCCTTCCCGCGCCCCAGCTGCAGGCTCAGACGCTTTGCGTGTCCACCATGGGATCGGTTCTTACCTCTGAGACGCTGCCACCGCGCATCATGCTGGGCGGCGCTCGAGGGCGAGGGGCGCACGACATCGTCCCGCACTGATGCCTCGGCCCAGCCTGGTGACGCAATGGCATCTGGGGGCCTGCCTCTCCCCGCCCCTCCCTCTCGCGGCCGTGTCTCTTCCGCCCGCCCCCCTGCTCCTCTCCTGCTCGAGCCTCGAATTCGTGTGAGGTTGCCCCATGGCAGTTGCCGACATGCCCGAAACTGGACCTGTCATTGCGCACCAAGCCCCAGGGGGCCAACGGGGGCTGGAAAACCTTGAGCCAATCGCGGTTACAGAGGAAGAGGAGGACGAGGAATAGGAAGAGGATGATGATGATGCTGCTGATGATGATGATGCTGATGATGCTGATGTTGATGAGGTTGATGCTGATGATGATTATGATGATGCTGCTGATGCTGGCTGATGCTGATGCTGATGCTGATGCCGATGCTGATGATGACGATGATGATGCTGATGCTGCTGATGATGATGGTGACGTTGCTGCTGCTGGTGATGCTGATGCTGATGATGATATGGATGACGATGATGATGATGATGATGATGATGATGATGATGATGATGATGATGGTGATGATAATGGTGATGGCGATGGTGATGATGATTATGATGATGATGATGATGCTGATGCTGATTATGATGATGATGATGATGATGATGATGATGATGATGATGATGATGACGATGACGACGATGACGATGATGATGATGATGATGATGATGATGATGATGATGATGATGATGATGATGATGA